TTTTGAGACAATCTCTATTTACCTCCAGTCAAAAGCCTCTTGGCACGTTGCAAGCTGATACAGCCAGACAGCTCTTTTCAGAGCTACTTCACACCTCAGACATCTAACCTGCAGACCCAAAGTTGCATCTTACGGCCAGTGAAGCTGGACTCAGAGGAAGCTACCATCCATCCATCCATCCATTTTCTGAACCCGTTTTGTACACCAAGGTGCGGGGGGGGGGGGGGGGGGGGGGGGGGGGGGCTGGTGCCTATCTGTTGCGGTCAATGGGCAATCAGGCGGGGAACACCCTGGACAGAGAGCCAGTCCATCGCAGGGCAACACAGAGACGCACAGGACAAACAATCACACACACACACTCACACCTAAGGACAATTTAGACAGACCAATCAACCTAACAGTGGCTGTGTCCGAATCCAGGGGTAGGATGCTTGTGAGTACGGGTCCTCGCCGGTCTAGCAAGGCCTGGTCCTTGCAAGTCAGTCCCGGAAGTCAGCGGCTCTGAATTCGGACAGTACTAGCCTCGTTTTCATTCCCGCCCCCAGGTCCAGTTGCCTAGCTACCGTGACAGCGGCAAACAAGCTAACAAGCTAGTAGCGACGTTGAAAATGGATCCACAGCAATATTTCATTTTATTTGTGGTTTTTGAGGAGCTGCGACAGCTCAATAAACGTCACCGGCCTTTGTATTTAAAGTTTAAAAATCATTTAGTCCTGTTATCTGCTAGAGTTACAAGTATTATACTCATGATCTCCTTTTTTGCATATATCTGAATGTTAGTGATGTGACAGCCGTCGATTGAGCCAGCCCAGCAAACCCTTTTGATGGACGATGCAGTGGACAGTGAGATGAGGCATCCAGAAGCACTCTCTGCAGACCACTCTGTCTGATGTTCCACTTGCCAACCAGAAACGTTCAGCCACGGATCTCGGTTCCTGCACTCCATCCACCTCGATGATCCATGTTTAGTAGATTTAGCAACACCACCAAAGACTCCCTGCTTTCCAAGTTTACTGTATATAGTTTACTTTTATCTTTACTTTTATTCCTTACAGTGTTCCCTTACCATTTATTTACTATGTTGTTACTTGTTAAAAACTGAATAATAAAACTGTTAATGATCAAAAAAGAGTTATCAATTAATAGAAATTTTATTATTATTAAACAAATAACAAAAACATTCAAACACATATATAGAACCTGAACCAGAAGAAACTAAAAGAAAAAAAACCCATTTCTCTGCCATCCTTTCCATCAATGCTAAAAATCTGTCCATCCTTCGTTCTCTCCTCTCCTCCGCTTCCCTCTGTTGTCTCATGTCCTCCCTGATCAGGTCAAGGAGCTCATCAGCCCTTCTCCTTTTTCTCCCTGATGAGGACTCCGGCTTCCTTCCACCACTCTCCCTGTCCTCTGTCTCACCCACTGCTGCACTTGGCCCTGGAGTGTCCTCGGGAATGGAAGCAATAAGGACAGGAGGCATAGTGGAAGGCCTCTGTCCCAACACCTCGTCCATGGGGACAAACCAGGGCCAGGTTTCAGCAGTGGGCTTTCCGCTGACTCCCTCCCCTGACCCTGGATACTTGCAGTCCTACAGACAAAGGGAATTAGAATTACAAGGCTTTATTGTCATTTAACAACAGAGAACACTGTGGGCATAATGAAATTACTGATGCACCTTAAAGGTACTGGTTCTGGATGAGAATAGAGAGGAATAGAAGAACAAAGTCAGATTATAAATCATAGTTGATAAAACATGCAATAAACAATATTTTAATTTATCAACATGGGAGATGAAAATTGTGTTCTGTGTTTTTTTCCGCCTAAAATGAAATTAAAAACATTAAATCATTAATGTGGTTTCTTAAAAATTAACTTAAATAAACATTGAACTTAGTTTTCGTTATTTTTGGCGTTCGTTACATGATTACATAAGATGCAAGCTCTTTTACGGTGAGTTTTTTCCTATTAGACTTTCAAGCAAGTTTACGGTGGGGTGTTAACCTTAAAACAAATGATGAGAAGCTTTATTCGCTAAATAAACACACACACACGGGAATTATGACGGGACCACCATACAAGCTCGTTCTCGCTGATTTCTGCTTAAAATGTACTTATACAAACGAAAAATGTCTATAAACAGAACCGCTTTCAGCTTAGTTTTCTACCGCTATTTTCCTTTTAAAAGCCTGCTGGGATCAAGCTAGTTTACGGTGGGTTTTTTCCTGTTAAACATTCAAGCTGGTTTTCAGTGGGGCATGTTTTAGCCTTAAATTACATGAAAAAAAAAACAATTTGCGGTATTAGATCGTATATAAAAAACAAACCAAAAGTGCCCAAACACGTATTTTATTTTTTTGACCGCTATTTTTTTAACTAACTTACATTTTAAGCTGTACTGCTGTCCCGCTCCGTCCGCCGTTGTTGCGAGTGTCGAGTCCAGCGGCCGGCGCGCAAAGCATGCTGGGATACCCTTGCTCCTGTGAGGATCCATCAGACCCATCCTCGAAATGTGGGTGGAGCGAGGACGCGTTTGAGGACGCGAGAATGAGGATTCTTGGAATTCGGACAGTACTCGTCGCTGCGCTTTGACGTCATCGACCTCAAAATGCGCTCTCACAAGCATCCTACCCCTGGATTCGGACACAGCCAGTCATGTTTTTGGACGGTGGGAGGAAGCCAGAGCACCTGGAGAGAACCCACGCATGCACAGGGAGAACATGCAACTCTATGCAGAAAGATCCCAGGCCGGGAAGCGACCCAGGACCTTCTTGCTGCAAGGCAACAGCTCTAACCACTGCGCCACTGCTGCCAAGCTACTAATCTCTGAGTACTGTGGTTTCAACATCTGGTGACCTCACCACTCCAACCGCACCCCTCCGGACCGCCAAGAGCAACTTATACCAAGGGTATCGTAAGCCTGAATACTGGAGTCTGCTGACTTTTATAAATAAACAACTCTCTAGTTACAACCCAGACTGCACAATTTCTCTCAGATACAAATAATGGTTTTAAATTTCACACATCATATTAAAACACTCCATATCCATTAAATCCACATCTCATTATTCATATATTGTCATGTATAATCCTTAGATTAGGAAAAAGTAGTAAATTCATTTTATAAACTATATACCTGACTGTCTGAATTAATACAAAGTGTGTTTATGGTCACTAAAGAAGCAAAGAACCCAAGAATCTTCTGATTAAACATTCAAAGATCAAGCAGGTTGATATTTCATATTTATATGGAATCATCACATCTTATTGGTCACAATTAACTAATGTATTCTACTACATCATTGACAAGAATCTTGAACAAATGCCACCATGCTAAAACATCACCAAGTGAACAATTATCCATCCATCCATCCATCTTCTGAACCCGCTCAGTCCACATAGGGTCGCGGGGGGGCTGGTGCCTATCTCCAGCAGTCAACGGGCAAGTAGGTGGGGTACACCCTGGACAGAGAGCCAGTCCATCATAGGGCAACACAGAGACACACAGGACAAACAACCATGCACACACATACTCACACCTAAGGACAATTTAGACAGACCAATCAACCTAACAGTCATGTTTTTGGACTGTGGGAGGAAGCCGGAGTACCCGGATAGAAGCCACGCATGCACAGGGAGAACATGCAAACTCCATGCAGAAAGATCCCAGGCTGGGAAGCGAACCCAGGACCTTCTTGCTGCAAGGCAACAGCTCTAACCACTGCACCGCCGTGAACAATTATGTAATATGAAATTTAAATACAATAATAATAGAAAAGTAAAAACAAAAACTAAATCACAGTGAAAGACTTCCAAACACGTGTGACAAGTGCTATACTCTAAAGAACTATCAGGAACACAACTTCATTATTAAAAAACAAGAATTAAGCTAAAGATAGTCATAACACTTCTAAATTAACAACAAATGTTGATTACAAAAGAAGACAAGTTGGACACAATTATAGAATTAAATTTAAAACCACAATATTCTTGAAAGGAACAATTTTTAGTTCTCCCCCTCATTTAAATTCAATATTTTATCAACACTAAACTGCACGATACCAGAGAAGGGACGAGCAAAAGATGACCTTTAGTATCAGAGCAAGCAGGAAAGATCTCACAACTAAACATGGCAGTAAGCCATAATTGAAAAGAGTCTAATACATTGTATTAGCAGGTTGTGTCATACACACCTGAACCAGCTAGAGATCTAGGTAGCAGTCAGCAGTTTGTTGAATTTCACCAGAGAAGTGATTCAAGCCTCACAGAAAAGTCTGATCACTTAACTATAAAAGTTGGTAGACCTGCACTGAGCCACATTCAACACCCCAGAGTTCCCCCCGGAGCTGACCTCTGACATGACCTTTCAGTAGCAGTGGAGAAGGACTGACTCTGTCTCCCTTCCAAAACCAACCAGAATGGAGGATCAACCACATTTTCTTGCAACTAAAACCCCAGACGATTGTCACAATTCACCTCAGACCTCCAGATCTTGCAGGAAGACAGACAGCTGTCTGTGATGGTGGTGTCTTCAGCACAGCAGGTCTCCACAGTTTTTAATCTCTGTCATGAAGAACAGACATGCTAACATGCATTTATGACCCAGATCCATTATAGTAGTACAGAAATGTAATGAAATAAAAGACACATTAGTCCTTCGCCCAACAAACTTGTATAATCCCTCGTGTTCACAACCAACAGGTTCATCCATACCCAACAAGACGAGACAGAAAAAGGAAATAATCCAACATTTAAAAAAACCTATTTTGCAAGACAGAACACCAAAATAAATTCAACAGAAAAACAAAAATTAAATGGACACCATATTGAAAAACCCCACTGTGCAAAGACCTGGTTTGGATGTCCTATAGAAGCACTCCAGACTAACGTACTCAATATAGACATGATCTGCACATCCATGTAACGTTGACTGGTTGCAGGGACAGAACGGGTTATCCACCTTAGCAAGAGTTAACTGTGTTACAGGAGTGACACCAGAAAAACAAACACGGTTTGCAAAAAAGTCAAACAGCATCCAATCTGAATATTTTAGAAAACCCGTTTTTTCACGCACACAAGCCCTTCATTCTAAAACTCAATCCATGCCACCCAAACAAAAACAACATAAAAACCATGTAAGAAAAAAGAACACACATACAATTAGAAAAAATAATTAAAGATACAGATTAATTTGTCTTGAACTAGTGTGAACAAATGTGATGTAGGGTTTGTGTCACAGGCCAGAGCCAAAGCCCACAAGCTGTTTAATTGCCCCCTGAGGAGCTGTTGTCTTCTAGTGGGTGCTGGGCTGAAAATCTGATAAGCCCTACTATGATGTACAGTGCAGTAGGATTAAGCCCCATTCCCACCTGTACCGGGTCGGCCCGGGCCGGGCAGCGTAGGTTGTTTACATATCTGGGTGGCCTGGTATTTTCCCGGGCCAACCAAGGCTCATTCTCAGCCCTCTTCCCGAGGGGTACTGCTTCAGGCTGACCTGGCCCAACACGCCCACTGTCCACCGATTGGTCAAGTCATGTGTTACCCTCCCCTTCAATAACATCTTCTGATTGGCCCTGCTGTGTTATTTGTAGTGATGTCACAGAATCGCGCCCAAACTCAAATCTCCAAACTCAATCTCCAGTTCACCAGCGTTGACATGATAGCTTCTCCCTGCTCCCAGACCTCATCTCCTAACCCCTGGAGCAATGTAGAGGTTAAAACCCTCCTCACTTTGCTCAGCGACGAGAGAATCCAGCGCGAACTGGACGGTACGGTGCGTAATGAAAAGATCTTTCAGGGGCTTGCACTGGCGATGTCCACCCACGGCTTTGAACGCACCGCGAAGCAGTGCCGAGAAAAAATAAAAAAGCTCAAAGCTGAGTACAGGTCTGTCAAGGACCACAACAGCAGGAGTGGAGCAGACAGGCGGCAGTGGAAGTGGTTTGCCGAAATGGACGCCATTTATGGTGAGAGGCCTGTGAGTAATGGCCGCGAGAGTGGCGTGGACACAGCCACTCCAGCTAACACTGGACCTCAGGACAACGGTGAGTTAGTAATAATATGACCTCCGTTTGTGCTACACTGTACTATAGTGCGGACGAAATGCTGTGCTAGCTTTGGCTAGCGCTGATGTGCGACCAAAAGGCTAGGCTAACTCCAGGCTAGTTGTGGCATGCCTACTAGCCTAGCTAGCCCATTAACTTCTTCGGTTAGTACTTGTTATTTGTGCATATTAAGTAACTGTTTTCTCATTATAAAAGATACAACTCTGGAAATGTGCACCGATGGGAGCCAGGACGTGCCCGACACCGGGGACATGGACGCTGGGCCCTCATCTGCCAACAGCGGCCGTAGCTGCAGCCCGAGCGTCTCAGCGCTGTCGGTGGGCAGCAGATCACGCTACGGTGAGTTCATTTGCAACAACAACATCAAAATATGACAAGCACGTGTGATTACATATACATCTTCTTGGCGTTTATTCAGGAAAAAGGAAGCGGGGGAGCACCAGCGTGTCACCATTGTTGGAGACGCTGGTGGAGAGTGACGCGGGGTTCCTGGAGACTGCAAGGAGGATGAACACCTTAATGGAGCAGCAAATGGAGGCAGATGCAGAGGACAGACGCCTGGACAGGGAGGAGAGACGAGAGGAGAGGATGGCACAGCAGCAATTTAACGACTCCTTTTTGGATGTGCTGCGCAGTTTGGTGTCTGCTGTTGAGAAATCAACCAAATGACCTGATTTTCTTTTATTTTGTTCGATGTGCAATAAAGTGTTTGACAATGCAACGTGTAATCCATCATTGTTCTGTTCACAGAATGTGAAGTGGAAAGGTCCAATCATAGTTCCAATATAAAACTGTGTGCTAAACTAGCATACACCAGCCTTGGGTATTTGCTTTATTCATCTCAGATTTATATAGGAATAAATACCAGGTAGGTGTCAGTGTAGACAAGATTATGTTATATGCAGTGTTGGGAGTAACGCTGTTTAAGTATAACGGCGTTCTTTTATAGGTAACGGAATAATCTAATTAATTACTTTTCCCGCCGTTGCAACGCCGTTACCGTTACTGGGGACGGAAGGTTGTGCGTTACTATGTGCTTGTCGAAGGTTGAGCAGCAGCGTGAGGCTTTCTGACCGCCACACTTCAGCTGCAGCCAGGGAGAGAGAGGTGTCGGTAACGCACTTACAAACACGATGATGATTGGCCGGGTGGGCGGAGACCCTCACGGTCTCAGTCGCTGCATTCTGTAGACACAACGGGAATAACTCCGTTTAAAATAACCGCGTTAATAAAAAATATTTATTTCTGTAACGAGCAAACTAATTAATTACGTCTTCTTTTATCAAAACGTCGTTTCTGTTACTGATAAGAAAATGCGTGCGTGAAGCAGCGCGGTGTGTTGAAGCTGTCATCATCAGCTGATCAGGAGCTAAAGAGGTAGATGTTTTCATCCAAGTGCGTCACGGCCGTGAAGAACGAGGAAGACGTGATGAATATCTACGGCTGCAGACCCCCCGCAGATTTGTTGCTGCAGCAGCGAATCTGCGGGTCTGCAGCCGTGCCCTTCTTAGCGTGCAGCGGGACGTCCCGACGGTCCGCTCACCTGTTCACCACTCAGACGTCCTGATCTTCTGCTTTCCTAGATCATCCAGCTGTAACCTGTTCCTGATCATGTGTTTAGTCCCGCTGTAACACTGATGCATCAGTCTCAGACGGCATGGAGCTCAGGTGTTATTAGAACTACCTGTGTGTGTTCACCACCCAGCTTCAGCTCTTCTGTGGTTGGGTCTGACCCAAGTTAGTAAATGTAAGTCCTCCATCAGATCTGTGCCTCTTCTAGTGTCATTTTAAAGGATATTTATTTAACCGTTACTAGATTACCAGCAACAGAAATGCTAGTAAAAACACACAATTATGTGAAGCTGGAAAAATTAGAATACTGTGCAAAATTACATTTATTTCTGTAATTTAACTAGACTGAGATTTAAAGGCTCGGGAACCTTTACAGGTGTTTCTATTTGCAATTTTAAATGTTAGCTGATTGGGTTATTGTTAAATATCACAGTGACCTTTTAATAGTCTAGATTAGTGTAATGTTCCTATTAGTAGTTCCTCCTGTTAAGTGCATATTTGTTTAAATTATTCAGGTTTATATAAAACATTTGGACATACATTTTATTATGTTCAGTCATTAGTCATTTATATTTTACTATTGTAGTAATTCTTGCATTCTTTAATGAAAAAAGTAACTAAGTAGTTACTTCTGTTGGTAATTAGTTACTTTTGTGATCTTGTAACTCAGTTAGTAACTGAGTTACTTTTTTGACAAAGTAATCAGTAACTATAACTAATTACTTTTTTAAAGTAACGTTCCCAACACTGGTTATATGTCAGCAGGAGTGTAGAGCAGGATCAGAAGCTCAAATGTGCCCCCCACACTTGGCTATTAAGAACTTTTGTCAGGCAATGTAAACAAGAGTCCAAATATTTACCTGCACTTGCCATAACGACTTGAGACATATGGCTAAAGCCCGATTTATGCTTCTCCGTCTGCGTCAGTGCGGAGACACGCAACGCCATTATCCGTCCTTGCGTAGGGCTCCGGCAGGCACGCAAGTACGTACGGAGTCGAGCCCACTTTTTTAAACATCCGTCGAACGAGACGGATTACGCAAGCTTGTGATTGGTCAGGATGCCGCTGTTGTTTACAGCGCCGCCATTGCAAAGAGAGCCGAGGATAACTAGCGGCAGACACGGAGAAGCTTGAAGAACACCTCGCGAAAAAACTCTAAAAATATGAACGTTTCATCCTCCCGTGACTGGAGGAGTGAAAAGATGCGCAGCAAGCGTTTTATTTGTGGACGGAAATGACAGGAAACGTGGGTTTAGAGGTGGGGAGCGCATGAAGTGGTGGGAGAATGAGAGACAAATATGTCTGTGTTAAAAGTCTCTTCTATACACAAAAAACACAATATAAACACACGATCTTGGACCGATACATGACAGGATACCACAGAACAGCGCTACGCCCTCTGTTGTCCTGCTGGGGAATTGCTTTGCAACACTCCCCCAGGAGACGGAGAAGTATGAGAGCAAAACGCTTCCGTCAATCCGTGCGTGTCTGTCCCTTGCGGAGCTGACGGAGAAGCATAAACCAGGCTTTAGCCTTGGATGTGCATAAAACAATTGCTTAAGTCAAATTTATCTAGCTGATCTGCATTCATTTGGACATGATGTCCATATAATTTATTTGGATTTAAGAGTATTTCCTTTATTTGTCAGCAGGCGTGTTTAGAAGTACCAGAAGCTCAAATGTGTACAGTCCACACTTGACTTAATACAAACTCATGAAATATATTTGCTCATGTTTACAATGTTTAGGTGGTGGTGCATTAAAAAGTTCAAGGGTCAAACATTAGCTGCGTGGAGAAAACTTTATTTGGGCAAAACATTCAGTCAGATGAAATTAAATCACTGCTGCCCCACAAGGTGCATCATCAGAGCATAACACTTTGCTCTCCCTCCCACATCTCCTGTGTTTTGTGGAGGTGGGGGTGCAGCCACAGGTTCAGGGTATTCTGTTTCAGTCGTCCACACATTGTCATAATGCTCCCCGTGGCTCTCACACAGATTATGCAGGGCACAGCAGGTCAGAATCATGGAACGCACCAGACTGACATCACAGTCATTCCTTTTGAGTAGGCAACGCCACCTTCCCTTCAGCCTACCAAAGGCATTTTCAACCACCACATGTGCCCGGCTGAACTTCTTGTTATAAAGAAGTTGCTGCTCTGTCAGTCGCCCAGTGTCTGTGAATGGTTTCAGCAGCCAGTCTTGCAGCGGGTAAGCAGAATCACCCAGGATGCAGTATCCAAAGTCAACGCCAGCAATTTGGATGGAATGGTCAGGGAAGAGATTTCCACGGCTTGCCAAATCCCAGATGGAGGAAAGTCTCAGGACCCTCGCGTCGTGCATGCTCCCTGGAAACCCTGCGAAAACATTCCAAAACAGTCCCTTTCCATCAACCACAGCTTGCAAGATGAGTGAGTGCCACCCTTTCCGATTGAAATAGTCTGTGTGAAAGTTTCTGGGTGCTATGATGGGGATGTGTGAGCCATCAATAGCACCCACACACTGTGGCAACCCCCACCTGCTCTCAAAATAGGATGCTATCTCCCGAAATTTCCCCTCATCGGGTAAATGAATCAGTTCTGGCAACAGCAATGCTTCTGCAGCAGCACAAAAGTCCTTGACAACACTTGGCAACAGTTGAGATGCCAACACCAAACAGAACACTGATGGGTCTGTAATCTGAACCTGTAGCAAATTTCCACTAAAGCAATAGCCACAATCTTCCTCAGAGGCACACACTCATGGAAGAAAGTGTCTTTTCGCTGCAATGCTGGCCGCAGTTTGTTGCACAGGAACATGAACGTCTCCTCAGACATTCTGAAGTGCTGCAACCACTGCGCTTCCATGTAACGAGGCACGTAATTATCCCACCAGTCAGAGGATCGGTTGAGTGACCAGATTGCGTGTCTGGAGCCTTCCAAAACAGCCATCTAAAACAAATGAAACGTATTTTATTAACTTGAAGTGTATTAAAGACACACGTCAGCATTGGACTTTTAGCAATTACCAGGATGCGTCGTCTGCGTTGTCGTAATCCCAGCAATGTGTTGTACTGCTTCAGAATGGCTTCCTGCATGTCTCGGAGACGCTTTGCAGATTTCATCCTCCTCTCATCCCTCCTCAGCTGGCGAAGCCGACGCCTTTCGGCCTGTCTGGCGCTGAGTCTGGCCCCCAAAACGAGCCACAAGCGCAGAACCATGAAAACAATCACCACGAAGTTCTCCATTGTTTACAATGACTGATACACAGGTGTCAACAACACAGGGCGGCTTGAATAGTCGCTGATATATGACATCACTGACATCTTAGCGCCAATTTCTCCCGCCGATTTCTGGGGACCGCCCCCATGCGGACGTGACTAGAGTCACGTCCGCATTCCGGAGCAGGGACGTGAGGAAGCACTTGGGCCGGGCTGGGGCCGGCTGGGGCGGCTCGGCCCGACCTGGTACAGGTGGGAATGGGGCTCAAGAGCCCTGCACGGGCCTAAAATCTGAGCCCGTGTCCGGCCCGGCCCGAGGGGATGGAGCCCCAGCCCGACCCGGCCCGAAAAGGTTTTCAGGATTCTCTGGCCTGACCCGAGCCCGACTTTTTTTTTCGACCAACTAAATGAAAACAAAGTGCGTCAATCCTGACCAATGTGTTAAAAGACATGCAGGATCCGATCAATTTGTTTTTCCCTCATTTACCGTCACGGAGATGACGGCACACTGGCTCTGGTGGTAATCAAGTTAAATATTATCTCTTTCCAACAATTTTCACAGGAAAAAAAAAACAGTCAAAAGCAGGGCTTGTGTTGTGATGACCGGATAGTTCCCGTATTTGACCGTTTATTTTGACGGAGAAAGAATAGAAAGAATTACCCCGATGCATGCAAACAAACTGACATTTTATTCTACGCACATCGCAGATGTAGCTAAATCACCCAAGAAAAGATTCCCATCTGAACATCTGAGCTGGACACTGCTCTGCTCAGCGCAGCTCGCTGTCAGCGCATATGTGCACAGCGAGCTGAAGTTGTGGAGATTGGCTTGGAGCGCGTTGCAGAACCAGAGCGCATGCGGGAAGGTTCCTCCCACTGAAGCGAGTGTTTTCCAAAC